AAGCTTGAACCGCGATCCCTCATACCTCCTCCATAGGACCCGCCAGATCGAGCACCCATTCCATCGAACATGATTCCACTTCCGTGTTCCACAGCAATGCTAGGAAGCTGAATAAACCCCCAAAAGACACAAACAGTTACTCTAGGCATTCAACAAAAGAAACCAATAGGTAAATAAAGTCACAGATTATATAACCTCAATGAATCGACTCCCGACTTCTCTCTCAATCATTTTTACAGCCCTGGATTGCTCTTGACTGTAGATGAGGATCGCACTTCCTTTCTTTCCAGCACGACCTGTTCGTCCCGTTCGGTGAACAAACGTCTCCGTGTTATTAGGAAGCTCGTAATGAATTATCTATTCACAATCAAAAGAAGGGTTAATAAGATGAGAAACAGAACTCGTTAAGAGCAAGAAAAAGTGTGTTTCAACTCACCAAATCGACATTAGGTACATCGAGTCCACGGGCAGCAACATCAGTTGCAACAAGAATATTGAAATTCCCATCCCTGAAACCAGCAAGTGTTCTTTCTCTCTGACTCTGGGATATGTCACCGTGCAACGCTTCACATTTGAAGCTTTTCGTCAATCCATATGCAAGGCGATCAGCATCCCGCTTTGTTTGGGTAAAAACGATACATTTTCCTCCTTTAGCATGCTCCTGCAAAAGAAAAAAATATTATAAACTTTCACCATACACAACTGATTACTAAGGGGGGAAAACACAAATAAGTTACTCTGTTACTAAAAAGTACAAAATTACTATCTCGTATAAGTTAAAAGCGAAGTAAAGAAAGCATACCGTTACAAGAGGACCAATAATGCTCGCTCTTCCATATGAATCTGCTATGATTGAATACGTCATAATTCCATCTGCGAGTTTCTGATCAGAGTCTCCAACCTATATAACACATCACAGTCAGGCAAAAGATACCTAGAATTACATTTTTCACCAAAGAAATGTCACCTCATTAACAACTCAGTCAAACCCAAGATAAATCTTTAGGGATTCTGAGAAATTTCAGATATAAACACGAGCAGGTATGAGATTACTCACAAGATCAATTGTCACAGGATCATTCAGGTACTTCTTGGTGAGAGATCTGATCCAACTCGGCATAGTTGCAGAAAACATCATGCTCTGGCGTTTCTCAGGCAACCTTTCCAATATTATCTCGACATCCTCGGCAAATCCAACTTGAAGCATCTGATCAGCTTCATCCAGAACCACAAACTGAACCTCTGATAGATTCAGAGCTCCTCGCTTAATCAGATCAATGATACGACCCGGAGTTCCAACCGCCACATCAACACCATAGTCAAGCTGCCTCATTTGCTGTGCAATCGGTGTACCTCCATACACACATATAGTATCCAAGCTTGGAGCAGACTCTCGAAACTCCTTCTCAACCTGTCGAGCAAGCTCCCTTGTCGGAGCCAAAACCAAACAAAGAGGATTCCTCCCACGTCTGCCACATAAGAACCAAAGGAAATCAGTGAACTAACCGGAAATGTAAATCTCTGAGCACAAGTCAAAAACCAAGGAATTAACAAACCCATGTTTAGCGTTGAATTTGATGATTTTGTCAATGATGGGAATCCCAAAAGCAAGTGTCTTTCCAGTTCCAGTCCTAGCACGACCGATCATATCCCGACCTTGCATAGCTGGCTCTAGCACAGCTTTCTATTCAACCCCACAAACATAAATTCAAGAACAGGAACACACGAAAGCTGCAGAATTTTGAATTGATCTCACAACACAACATACCTGAATAGGAAAGAGTTTTTCGATACCCTTACTACTCAAAGCTTTAACAATCTCAGGAGATATTCCAAGCTCAGATATCGCAAGCCCATCACCACCACTACTGCTACTACCAATACTCTCCGAATCTCCAATCACTCTGTCTTTCCTCTCAGATATCGCAAACCCAGCAGTAGAAACCATCGACGCTCTAAACTCCGACGGTCCAGATTGAAAATGAAATTCCCTAGCTTTAACACTAAACGGATCCGGATTCGGAGGCTTGACATCGGTAGGTCCAATTCTGGCTACATCGGAGACTCTCGCGGCGGCTGGAGTAAGGTGGTGAAATAGAGCCGCATTAATGGAGGTCACCGATGCGGAGAGAGTCCGCCTCGACGCATCGAGACAAGATCTGCGGAGTACTGTAGTGATCATTTCGGATTGCAAGAGAAAATTCCTGATACGGAAATGTAAAACCCAAATCTGAGAATTAGGGATTGAGAGAAAAAAGTCGAAGGGTTTAGATCCTTTAACATGAACAGTACGGTTTCAGGGTTTAAGTTGGATCAGT